CGACGACCTCGTTCTTCATGTGGTGAAACCGCCGGTGGTAGTGATTCGCGTTTATGCGGCTTTTTACACGCATCACGCCAGATTCGTCTAGGAATGGGAAACACTTAAACAATGGGCTCTTGCGATCGTACACGTTGTTGCACGGTCTTAGGGCTTAGATTTCTTTAGGAAACTTCGCTTTCTGGCGCACTCGCACCAGAATGACATACGGGTCGACAGCCCGCGTCAGTTGCGCAGGAATTAAAATCCTAGTAGTCCGAGCGGGTCTAGGACGGTCATCATTACACTTACAACTCTCCTAGCACTGTTATTTCCGGCTTGATCATATACGTGAGGAGGTCAGGACCTGGCATCCACCATAATCCCAGCAACTTTTCTTGATTTTCGTTCGTTGCGGCGAGACACCTGGTAGAGGTGCATTACTTCCAACGAGTTTGAAGTCCATCGTCGCATCTCAAACCCCCCTTCTTCGTGGATTTTCTTCACTGTGCCGGTGATTGATATCATATCGCTCTCTCGACAAAGGTGTTAATGCATATGGCCGCTACAGCTTCCGACGACTGTCTGAAGAAGCGCTCCACGTTTCGATTTCGTATATAGTTGGCCAGGGTAGGAGAACATGAGGCTCCGAACGTCATGACTAGAATCGCATAAATATCCGGTTCGCGTTACCCATCTCCACCTCTCCACAAAAACATTTGGGACCCTTGATCTTCATGTCGCACTTTTACTTTGTGGAACATCTCGCGAATGTCCCCAGCAACAGCAACTTTACCTTCACGAAATCGCAGCAGCACGCCCATTAGCGACACCAATATGTTCGGTCCTTTCAGCAGAGCATGTTTGAAGGACATTCCGTTGACTTCAGCCGCTGTGTGCCATACTATCCTGGTTTTCTTCTTATTTGGGTTGGTAACAGTGAAGATTGGGAGATCTAAGGATTTCGAATTGGAAACTATCTCCTCTCGAACTAACTGCCGGATATAGCCTTTCTTCTACATGCTCTCATTTAAGAAGTGGCTGAGAGCTGGTTCCTTTGCCATCTTAGCCTCCAGAAATCGTAGACGTCCTAGCGCCATGGGATACGAGTTATCCCGTTTGCCAACGCTTAGCTCCGGTGTTGTCGTAGCCTCCATTATACAAGCAGAGCGTTGATCCTCCTTCGATCTAAAGGGCGTCTTGGCGACGGTTACGTCCAGGGATTCCAGCGCAAGGTGGTTTCTCAAACTTTCGACAAGATCGTGCAGGCGGTCCCCGTTATTGCACTCGCAAACGTGCAAAATACGAGGGCGAGAAGATTGCCCAGAACAGTGCCATCCATAAACGAATCAGCCAAGTCTAAAACGTGCTGCCACGATGTCGTCTCCTTCAATCTCTCTTACTTCGAGCGGAACGCTGGTTTTGATGTTATCTAGGCCGATAATGAGTCTCGCATTGCGGTAGGTTGGCATTGGGATGGATTTCAGATCAGAACGCGAATTTATAAGTTCTTCCAAGGCAGGTCCAAATAAACGATAAATCTTACTCCTTTTAATTCATAGCGTGTTGCACCTCGGCTTTCTGCCGAGACTTGAAAGTTTACCAACTTGGAGGGAGGTTCCGTTTGAGAAATTTCCCCACTCCAGCGCAGCCCACTCCGGCCAGATCTTTCTCTATCAGGATTGCAAGCGACGCCTTCAACCAAAGCAAAGGTATTTATGTGGCAATTTCGAATATACAGCTGCACCTCGATGTACCGAAACAGTGCCTTCCATGATTCTCCTCCGTGAAATAGTACGGTTTGAGGTCCTAAGGTACCGTTTCATCCTCGACCGCTTGGTAAGCGTGCAGCAGGGCATGGTGGATCTTTTTACAGACGTCCACTCCGCAAATCCTTGTCAACCTGCAGCTTCGAACTGTGTGATCGTCTAGGCAGCAGTAACACAGGTTTTTGTTTCGCACGAAGTCCCAACGCTGATTCCGAGACATGTCTAAGAAACCACGGCAATCAGTGGAGAGTCTGCCAGGAGGCATGTTCAAATCACCTTCAGATTTGTCCTCCATTTTGTCTTTGCTTCCCCCTGGGGTTGACATGGTCGATTCCTCACGTAATTTGGGTTACGTTATCCTCTAATCTGAGCCGCAACCGCGATTAGGTTAAGGCTCCTCGCTCAGCGATGAAGCTGTGCCGAATTCCAATTTTTTTCCCGGCCGCCATCGTCTCACACCGTGACACTTCTTCCCGTAGTGCAGGCTGACTCGATGCGTACGTCTGCCAACTTACCCCGGAAGGTTTCAGTCACGCCGTTAGGTTCCGATTGACTTCTCTAAGTTTCAGTCGAAAGAAATATTTCAGAATGTTGGCTAGCGGCTAACGCGAGAGACATAACATCCACTCAAAACACAGACTTCTAGTAGTTTACTCCAGAAACAGTCGATCGGAAAACGACAACTTAAATCTTTATTTCATGTTAGCATGCGTGTTAATTCAATTATATATTCTTACATTTGTGCTTTCCTCGTTTTCGTCGGACGTCATGCCGATCACCAACTTTTTACAACTGCGCCACTTCAAACTCGCGGCTTCGGCAGCGGAGACGTGTAAGAGAAGGAGATCACAGTACCGCATCTTTGAATTGCATCGCATCGGCGCAAACTCGGGTATAGGCGCGTTAAATACGGGGCGGTGGATTGTAAGTGCAGATGAGACAAGATGCATGATTGCAGAGGCGATATTTAAGTTACCGACGCAACAAGCCCCATATATTTTTATAGCCCAAAAATAAACTGCTCAGCTTTTTGGCGCAGGACTACTGTGGAAGGCCTATTATTAGTTCTCCGTCTAATTTAATGACCACTTCATCATAAAGTCAAAAATTTTTAGAATTTAGTTCATTAAATACTTCAGGAGGAGCAGATTTTAAATCATGATATCCTACGATCATAAGGAAAATAAAACTCTTCCACTGTGAGGTTTTGAATCCTTAGGCTGACCAGCGGAAACAGGGACTCCCCCAGAGCCAACCTTTACCGATCGGGTAAAAGTACTGGAAATCATATTGGGATGCGGGACTGATGCCTTTACTGCCACAGATTTGAAAGGAGCGGTCTTTTTGCGTTTAGGTGACCCAACTGAAATTTTTTGTTATTAAGGTCGGCCTCAAACTCTTTGAAATCAGCAACTACGTTCATAAGCATATCCAAATGTTTCTTAAGGCGATCATTGGTCAGCGCCATGTAGCCATCCAAATCACGGGCTATTTCAACGCATGAGGCACAAGTCCAAATCCAGTCAATGTAATCTTTTACTCTGACAACAAGTCCAGTACATTTTGGATGTATGACTATGTTGTGGAGACTGAAACTGACAATCTTTTGTAACAAAAAAGAGCAATTTTTAAGTATTTCAATTTAAGAAAAAAGTTATTTATAAAACCAAAGAATCAAAAGAATTATAAATACCTTACTTAATTTGACACTGGGATCAATAAATAAAAATGAAGACACACACGAACCAAAAAGTATAAGAGCGCGTAGAGAATGCGAGAGCGAGAGAGCTCGACAGAGTCGCTGTCGACTGAGCGTGGCTTGCGAAACACAAACAAAATATTCACGACAAAAGTTTAAACGACAAGAAACGCGAGAGAGATTACAGCAGAGAGATATGATTACAGAAAGTTATGGGAAACAACAACAAAAGCTATTGAAACAAATGCACCACAGCGTACAGAAGATACAATAACAAAATGCACAGGCTTAAAACAATAAAATAGACAATTATACATAAACAGAAGATTTAAAACACAAGCACGGCTGGTTATGTTGAACTAAGTCACAAAGCAAGGTACCAGTATTACAGATATTAATGACAAATTGACAAAAATCACAGAGCACAAGATAAACACATAAAAACGTCACAAGCGACGCTAAATCGAAAGTGATCCCACCCAAGTGAAGTCCCACCAATTTTCCGGTCGTTCGATCGTAAAAAATGTTATTTCCTAGCGTAGGAGTTTATATGTTAAAAAACCCAAAAAATTAATTTTTGAAATTTTTTCCCGATTATTCCTATTCCGATTTGGCTAGTTCCGACTTATATACTACCTGCAAAAGACAGAAGACTTTTGGGACAGTTTCAGCGCGATAGCTTTAAAACTGAGAGACTAGTTTGCGTAGAAACGGACGGACAGACGGGCACCCGTCGCGCCGATAGCTTTCTCATGCCAAAAATTTCATGCAGGAAATGACCCACGCGGTATTTTGACATGCCTACTGTCTCAGCTATCTTGCATATCATCAATCGGCGGTCTGCCAATACGAGATCGTGGATTTGTGTCACGTTATCCTCCGTGGTTTTCGGGGCACCTGGGCGTGGCTCATCAAAAACCGACGTGCGACCACGTTGAAACTCGTTAAACCAATTTTTGACGGTCGCCACCGAAGGAGAATAGTTACCGTACACAGCATCCAAGCGCTCTTTGATTTCGCTGCGCGATTTCCCCTCCAAAAACAAGAATCGAATCACAGACCGAAATTGCTCTTTCTCCATTTTTCTAAAATACGCGGACACGTCCGATTCCACACGCGGTCAAAACAAAACTACGAATCCGATTCGGCTGAAATTTCGACAGAAGCCGTCTACGAGAATGAAATACACTATAGTAAATTTCTCTTGCGATAGTGACGCCATCGTGCGGTGAGGCTAAGTACTTATCGGACTGCCCTCGTGTACTTTATGGGGTCGGAAACGTCTCCTTCACTGCGTTGCAAACTTCTGACTGAAATCATAATACCCTCTGCAAGGGTATTAAAATCACAACATTCTTCACACTGACATGCCGTAGTAAACATAATGTGACCACGTCAGAGCAATACAAAAATATATGGAGACCTTGACGTCACAATGGAAAGAGAAATAAGAAAAAGTTTTGGAGTTAGTAAAGGAGGTATGGCCATTTATTATATATTAGAGCAAGAGACACAAGTCCACGAAAACCCAACGCGCAGATAAATATAATCCTTTATTCTGCCAACAAGTCCGGTACATTAGAATGTATGAGTGTATTGCAGAGAGTAAATTAAAACGTTATTAGGTGATGATCCAAACTGACAATCTTTTTTGAACAAAAAATGCCTCTTTTAAATTTATATTTATAAATCTAAAATTAAAAAAAGTGTTTTTTATAAAACAAAAATCAAAAGAATTATAAATACCTCAGTCAATTTGACACTGGGATCAATAAATAAAAATGTAGTTGGCGCGAGAGAGTAGCCTGGGAAGCATAAGCAAAATATACACGACAAGAGTTTAAGCGAAAAGAAGCGGGAGAGAGACTACAGAGAGCTATGAGAAACAACAACAAAAGCTGTGATTGAAACGAATGCACAAACAGCGTACAAAAAGTTAAAAATAGAATGCACGTTCCTTATTTCCTATTATTAAGTAGACAAATTGACTACAAAAAACATATTTAAAAAACACACACGGCTGTTCTGTTGGGTCAGGTTACAAAACAGGACACCAGTACCACAGATATTAATCAGCAAATGGACAAAATCATAGAGCACAGGATAAACGCAACCGGTACCAAGCGACGCTAAATCGATAATGCTGATGATGATTTAAGGAAATCTCTCCTACTGTTCAAACATTAATCTTTTGGTTTCTTTATTGACGTTTTTTTAGCTCCAATATGCGTATTTTTATTTATTTCAGTTAGTCTTTTAAAACGTGAAGTACTTTTGTAAAAAATGTTTTGCTATTAGGAAAGCCGAGTAATAGATTCTGTGCGATTTCCGTAAGACTTTCATTGAGCTCGCATTGCTTTTGTGATATTTGTTGTACCGCCAGCTCTGATCGAACAATTTTCTGCTTTGATTTTAATAAATTAAGTCTTCGATAAGCTTTTGCTCTAATTTGTTTCCGTATTATTTGCTCCAAATTTGCATGCTTAGCTAAAATCCCTTCTTGGATTCGATCCTGAATGTTGGCATCATCCTTCAATATTTCTTTAAGATCCGTTTCAATTCTTCGTAACATATAAATCATGCGCTCAATTTTGTTGACATCATCAATTAAGTGCTTTTCCGACAATAACTTTATTTCATTACTTATGAGTTTAGTTCTATTATGAACTTCATCAAGTCTGACCTGAACATGAGAAGCATTTTTTAATTTTTTTAGTTTGCCTTGTAAGTGTTCTTTCACTGATGCATTGACAAATATTTGTTCCCGGTGCATAACGCAATGTTCTAGATCTAGAACAAGACTTTCCTGTGCTCGTTTTAGTTGAGCATATCTTATAGTCATGCGATGAATTTCTGTTTTCATCTGACCGATTTCTCCGTTTACAGATCGCTCTAGTTTCGACCACTCTATAGTTTCCTCAAGCAATTTATATTTAGTTTCCCACGATAATGTTTCTCTGTGGTTATCTATAACGAAATCTTTTTGAAGCTCAATTTCGTTTTGCAGGTCATTAATTGTTTCTTCCAACTTTAGTACTCCGAGCTCGGCAACCTAAAATAAAATATTGGCTTTTATTAAATATATCAGTAAGACTTCAGTATACCTTAAGTTTTTGGGTTTGGTCAGCCTGCTCGTGCTCGAAATCAGTTTCTTCAATATCATGGTGCATCCTTTTTTTATATATTTTCTCATTAAGTAGTTCCAATTTTGATGTAAAACTTTTAATGAACAGCTGTAATTCTTTTGATTTTCTTTGTGATAATTCCAGCTCTTGATCAATTTTAAGTGATTTTTGCTTAATAATTGATAGTTCTGAAAGCAAATTGAAAGTATTTGGTTAGTTCGGTTTCGTTTAAGTAAAACAGGCGAAGGTTCCGGTATCAAAGCATTTATGTGATTATAGGTATTATTCATAAAATTGTACTGTGTTTATGTTGGTGAACCTGGTGGAGTAAGATTCATTTCTAAGGTAACTGGTGTCGAGCGTGGCTCCGAATGGATCAGTTTACTAACTGAAAAAGTGATGAGCAACTACGCTACGCACAAAACCAAACTATCAGTTTTAGCATTACTTTTTATACCCTTGCAGAGGGTATTATGATTTCAGTCAGAAGTTTGCAAAGCAGTGAAGGAGACGTTTCCGACCCCATAAAGAATATATATTCTTGATCAGAATCACTAGACGAGTCGATCTAGCCATGTCCGTCTGGAAATAACATTTTTTAATTAGTTTTGAATTTCGAATTAAATTTTATCAAAATCGGACGACTCTATCATACAGCTGCCATAGGAACAATCGGAAAATTGGTGGGAAAATAATATGAAACAAATTATAGCCTCAGTGTTTTTTAACATATAACCTCCTACTCTTGGAATTACAATTTTTTAGTTAGTTCTGAATTTCGAATTTAATTTTATCCAAATCGGAAAATTGATGGGAAAATAGTATGAAACAAATTATAGCTTCGGTGTCTCTTAACATATAACCTTTTACGCTTGGAAATAACATTTTTTAATCAGTTTTGAATTTCGTATTTAATTTTATCGAAATCAGAAGACTATATCATATAGCTGCCACATGATCGATCGGAAAATTGGTGGGAAAATAATATGAAACAAATTATATCTTCGGTGTTTTTTGACATATTATCTTATACTATGACAATATCATCTTATGTATTTTTAAATTTAATAATTATAGCTGCATGGCTTGCCGAAGTTAGCTTCCTTTCTTGTTTGTTAATGGTTTTCGCTTATGAAACAATGTTCCAAGCCAGTACGAAGCAATTGGAAGCTCACTTCAATTTCATAACAAAATCCAAGTACACAGTATACAAAAAAATAGAACGATTTAATCGAGTGTCCTAACTATCAGATATCCGATACCCAGCTCTAAAGTTGAAAATTAATAAAGGGTAATTTACGCGAAGATTCTCGCTTTAATATTGGAAGACACCTGAAAAATTCGCAAAGCCGCGCAATCGATACACGAGAAAAAGTTTCGCATACGATATTTTTAGACCAATGAGAAAACAAACATTTACAGCGCTGTAAAGTTCTTGGAGTGTCACCAACCCAATGGTTGAGGGAGGCACATACCCATAGCACTACATACACTTACCCTCGAGACACCCTCTAAGAAATGAGAACCCACGTCTAATAGTAAACAAGCCAATAGAAAGTTACCACGAAACTAAAAACCACCGAATACAGACTAAACAATATATATGTATATATATGAAATTATATATATCATCCAAAGACATCTCTTTACGAGGCAAAAACATAGTACGACCCCACCTTCAACATACAATAGATCTGATATCAACTTTTGTAACGAAAATGTATTATTCGACATTCTAACTAAAAACACTTTCTTATTTTTTCTCATGCGGCACAACACAATACAATATGCCCGTGCAGGCCATTTCCTGTTTAATTTTAAAATCTTTCAATTTTTAGCGGCCTAGATGAATATTTTCATAATATATTCGGAATTTTAGTTTCTTTTGTTCATACCTTTATAAATTTTAAAGTGAAATCGAAGTACGAGATGTGGCAAATATAAGTCAAGTTCGTCTTCTAGCTTTAAAACTCTATAATAAGACCCAATCGCGATCTAAGCCAGAGAAACCTAAATGGGCTTTTACTTAATTCCATGTGTACTTTCCGCACGTGAAGTCCACATTGTGGTTCCATTTCTAAACACAAAGAATTGTTTAGAAAATATATATATATGTCGGGTTATGGATTTGATTTTCCATATTTTGCGCAGATTGTATACGGCGAATATCCTTGAGCACACCACAGTCGATTTGAGATTCCCGCCAGCCTTCTTGCATACCGAAAAAGTCCTCCCGAAAATGCTGCAACGAGCATACTTGTGTCTCTGTCTCTCGCAGTGGCTCAAGGATACACGCACAACAATCTTAGTGCGCATCTCTCTCTCAAACCTCTAACCTCTCACAACTTTCTTTCTCATGTTCGCATCGAACTATACTGACCACCTGGCGAATAGACGGAACAAAGCGTACTAACAAACAACCGTTAGAGTGCAGAGACGAGATTTGCCACTTGGTACACGCATTTGATTTAATGCTTTTACACTGACTACCATAATTTAAGATCCGACACGGCCATTCTGACAATTACACGTCCTCGTGTACTGTAATCTTAATATTTTAAATATGACTTGTAAATCCGTGATTATAGCTTGTGTTTTCTTTTACTCATCAGTTTCGAACATCATTTATTTATTCGATATATTATCTTACACTTAACATTTTTCTCTTATTTCATAATCTTTCATTATTTTATTTCAATTATTTCAATTTCAATTCTTATTCTCATTGTATAATCTAATTCATTTTAACATTTAAATCATTTCATTTACTTCTCGGCATTTTACAATTCGACTCTAGTTATCGTCACTATGATTTCCTTTTGATTAAGAGCTTAGTCCCGTCAAGAACGCCACACGCCATGTTCCAACTTTCGTCTTTCACTTGTGCTTGCTCAATGACGCAGATAGCTTAAATCTCAAAACCATACCTTTAATTCATACATTTCAATCAAATATTGTCATATATCAACCAAACTTTGCATCCGCCAGGTTATTTCCATTCGAATTCTCAAACACATCCGCCATTCACAAACATGTTCTTATCGAAGTCTATTGCAACTTCATTTCAACTATTCCATACTCTATATGAACATTTTGTTTTCACATAACATATCCTCTCACACGGATATATTATAACCATTTCAACAAGTCTCGGGCGGGCAATCCAATTCACTAGGAACATAACCATCTGCCATCTTTCTCAAATCTTCATGACAATATTTATAAGTTCTCTTATTATGCAATGACTTCAAGATATATCTATCTCCTTCTAGAACTTCACTAACTAAAAATGGTTCTTTAAACTTTACATCCAATTTAGTTTGATGCCGTTCTTCATTTTTCAGTAAAACAAAATCTCCAATTTTATGTCGTTCAACTGCTGCTTTATTTTTATCGAATCTTATTTTGTCGTAACTAGCTTGATTGTTCATATTTTCAATTGCCCTAACTTTATCTACCTCCATCTCCGTATCATACGGTGGAATCAAACCTAAAGGACGAGCCACCTTGCCGACAAGTAACTCTAGGGGACTTGCTTTGCTTGTACTACTAACTGTGCAGTTTAAGGCAAGTTGTACCCCACCTAAAGCTTCTTGCCAAGATCGGTGACTTCTTAAGGGTACTCATCACACGTTCAACTTGGCCGTTTGCACAGCTTCCTCCTGTAGCTATAAGATGAAGCTTAATCTTCTGTGATGTACAAAATTCTGAAAATCTCCCACTAGTAAAACATCTACCCTGATCAGCTATTATACGCTGCGGTATTCCAAACAAAGAGATAGATGATTTCATTGCCTGAATACAACTGTCAGAATCTAATCTTAAAGTATGAAACAAATAAACAAATTTTGTTAAGGCATCAATTTGTACTATCACGTATTCCTTAAGATCATTCTTCCCACTTAATTTTCCAGTGATGTCGATATGCACCGTGTGCCATGGCACATTCACTTTTGGAATTGGATGTAACTCGGCTTGTATCTTCCCAGATGAACCCTTAACAGTTTTACATGTAATGCAGCTATCGACAAACTTCCTAACATATTTATTCATCTTAGCAAACCAATAATATTGGTAAGTTTTGTCAAGAGTCTTTTTCCATCCCAAATGCATGATGGACTCTTGCACTTGATTTATTACTGACCATCGAAATGCATGGGGCACTACTGGCAAACAACGGGTTCTTCCATTTCTCTGGACTTTACGAAACAAGACACCTTTTTTCAACTCATAAGTCTGTGCAACATCATCTGTCGACTCTTTAGAGTTAAGTTTGTTAATGATATCAGTAATTTCAGAATCCTGGCGCTGTTCAGCAGCAAGCAAGTCACTTGAGATTTCTGCCAAGCTTACATGCTTTTCAGGAACTAAAGACTTTTCAACTTTTGTTGCTTCCTGAATGTGATTTTTCGATAAAAAATCCACATGCGCTGTTCACGCCAAAAGGGCGTTTAATTTCAGGAGGCAGTGTCGAGCGGCAGTTTTATCCAGATGTCTACATCTCGCGCGCTCGCACTGCCGTCCGCTCTCCCTCTCCATCTCTCCCCTAAGTCTCCGCTCTGCTCTGGAGCGCTTAAGTTAAGTTAGGCTTAAGCAGTTCTTGTTTCAAAGTGATACAATAAACATCTACGCACGTCGCGTAAAAACCCTAAAAGTACCCGCGTATTTTTATGCGTACCACTCAATCTTGGGGCTTCAATTATTTCATCGATCAAGCCGCACCGCCCCAACATTTTGGTCCAGTTCGAGCAGGATTTCAAAATCCTTGGACTTTCCTCTCCTGGAGTTTCCTTTGATTTTGTCCCAGCAGGCTTGAAACACTCCAGATAAGTTCCGCTTACTATAATTGCCGGTCATACAGCCAGTTTTTCGAACCCTATTTCGACTAACTTTCTGTATGATATATTGTCTAAATCCAAAAGAGATTAATCCGACGCAACGGCATTTAATATATGTATTTCAATTCCGTTACTTGTGCCCCACAATATTCCAGTTTCCTTTGCCCACAGTTGCACACTTGAAACAATTCCAGTAAATATTTCAGTGCTACTATTCAACGAAAATATTTGTCAAATATATTTTCAATTCCAATCGTGTGTAAAATATAACTCAGCCGCAGTAAAAAATTCCCGGTCATAAAATTATTCCTTAAGATTTGCACTCTTTATTTTTTACTGTGTTCCAGCTGCGCGTGTATATTTACATAAATATTCTAATACAGTCCACTCCAACTACTTTTCTCGACCTACAAATACGGCTAAACTATTTCCAATATTAAGAACAAAGTTACAAATTCCACAAATTTACTCCAGCAAATCGTTTGCAATTTAATTGTGCA